GAGGTACCGGTTCGAGCTAAGAAATAAAAGCAAACTTGAAATCACACAAGCTAGCTTAATTTTTCTCCTATACCCATTTTCCTATCTTCCATGCTACGAGCCTCGACTAGCAGCCAGACGGAGAAGGAAGGAAGGAGAGAAGGATGGAAGCTATTCCCCAGCCGCCTTGGGTCCCCCACCGCCTGCCAATTCTCTCCTAACCACGATGTCAGCTCAAAGGCCCCCATCGTCCGCCTCACTGCCACGTACCCCCCCCCCCCCGCTCAATGACGATACCAAAATTTAACCTACATCGCCGCACTGAGGGTTGCATTGGTTCCCCATGCAGTTCCCCATAAGGGTGAATTTTCATTTCCCCTAAATTCTCGCGGGTCAACCGGCCACTCTTAAAATACTAAAAATTCGATCTACCCTTTTTAAAGTTTCGCAGCACTCTTCTGTGAACAAATTTGACGAGAATTTCCCTACCCGTAAAAAAGGGAAATTCGCCCATGTCAAAATGGCGCCCAACGTGGGGCCCGAGTTAAAAAAGTTACTTTTACCCACCCTGCTTGTCTCAAATGCTCTTCTCGAAAGAAATTAATTTTTCTTTTCTTAAATGTTCTCCAGTGAGGAAATTAATTTTCCTCTTTCAAAAACCGCCCCCTGTGGCTTCCAAATATTTTTTAAAAAATTTTTCTTCCCCCTGTGGAAAAATTTCTAGGTCACCCTCTCCTGTGGGACTTAGCTCAAAATAAAATACCAGTCACCCCCTGTGGTGCACATTGTTAAAAAAAAAATTTTTTTTCTCCACCCTGTGGAGCTCTTATTGTTTTAAATCCTCCAATGGTCCAGACCAATTAAATCTGGTGGCGCCCTCCTTTAAAATATTTTTCGTTTTTCGTTTCAAAGGTGAAAAATAATGCCTGTTGAACGAACACCTCCAACTAATACCTCTATTTCAAATTCGCTTCTTGATCAATCCGATTTTGCGGGATTTGCAAATACCCCCCCTCCCCATTCCATGATGTCTCGGCGAACGGAAGAACCGACACCAGGCCCGTCCGGAACGCAGCCTCCTGGATACCGTACACCTGCAGCTGAGAGAACTTCACCGCCAGCCTACAGTGATCTCATCCCTGGATTCTCAAGACGAATTACTTCAGGCAACCTTCGAAATCAACTTCCCTTGGGTGGGACTTCACATTCGGTAAACCCGTGATTGACCTAAACGTGTTTCCCCTGAACAGCAGACTTCGTCCGACCAACAGGGAAACTGGCAAAAAAGGTCAACTCAAGGCTCTGATAACCACCCATTAGTTTATTTTCGAGTATATCTACTCTACAAACATCCGTTCCAATTTTTGTTACGTTCGAATTTAACAACTAAATAAGTTAAGTTCTTTTTGATTCGGCCTCTACTGACTTACCTTTCTCCCCTATAGTTAAATAATTAACCAGTTACCGTGAGAGTAGAAGTATTAAAAAAGGAGTTACCCTAAATATTGTCGGGTAATTTAGATTAAAATTTCTAATCAACAACCGAATTAGAAAAGAGATGTTTCTAATCTCGGAATAAATTTCCAATCCCATGGATAGAAGAGCACCAAGTAGTCTACGACCGATTCCGCCGATGTATCCATATTGGAAAACAAAACCGAGGTACCAGTTATTTCGGAAATCACACTCCCTCCTTTTCGGTAGAGAATCTTGATCCTAGTTTATTAAGACGGTTTCTGACATTCCGACAGATTACCGAACATTAATTTTAAATGTTTCATTTCGATTTCGGGAAACCGTTAACCCTGTGGGTCCCCTGACTCAAACCAATTGTATGGTCCACGAAATCAAATTATTAGTCCATAAGACGTTTAACATTCGTCCTTACTACAGCTGTAAAGAAAATAAATGCAGCGGTCTCATACCCAGTGAGATTCTTTAGCGACACAATTTAAATAGACCTGGTGATTGAACACTCCCCCTCTCAACTTATCAACATCCAAAGACAGAGTTGTTCAAGCCAGATAAAATCGCGGTAAAACATCTAAGTGCCGCCACGACTCCGACGGATATTCTCCCTACAAACTGGGCAATCTCGTTTATTTAAGAAACTACCAATTGTCAGACGCTTCAAAGCCTCATTATCTCCATCAAGAAGAGGACCTTACCCTATTATACGTCATCTACAAGGGCAAGAGTATGAAGTAAACCTGTTCAGCCGAACATCAAAAGCTCACGCGTCACAATTATGGCCAGCGAGATCCCGGACAGTCACTCTTACCGATCAGGAGATCAGCAACAATTGACCCCACTCTCCAACAATTACAAGTTGTCGAGAAAGGCCTAAGATTAGGCCTCCTTCAAATCCCATAGTGACCCACATCTATCCTGCAGCGCCTCTGATTCGCCGACGAGGATGACTGAGGAATAAGATAGTGACCACTCCAGAGGATCCAGTTCGTGTCCCTCCGATTTCGCCGACGAGGTCGACCACGAAGAACCCTAGTTGAACCAGATGGTCAACACTACAATTGTTCGCATCCCTCTGATTCTCCGAAGAGGTAGACCAAAAAAAAAAAAAACCTGTTGAACCAGACGGTCAACACTACAACAGCACCGCTCCCTCTAAACCTTAGCGTCAATCAAGCGGTCGGTTTATTTTACCCCCGATCCGCCGAAGAGGATGCCCAAGGAAACAGCGGTAATTGGTCCAGTGAATCAGTCTAGTAATCCTCCGATTCGCCGACGAGGAAGACCTAGAGAAAATTCTACTGTAACGACATCGAGGGAAGACCTCCTCACCATTCCTGGTTGAGTAGAGGCGACCGAAGTGAATGGTCCCAGTCCGTCGAGGGAAGTCCTCCTCACCGTTCCAGGTTGAGTAGAGGCGACCGAGGTGAATGGTCCCAGCTCATCGAGGGAAGTCCTCCTCACCGCTCCAGGTTGAGTAGAGGCGACCGAGGTGAATGGTCCCAGCTCATCAACGTGTCATACATTGTTAATAACATTAGTGTTAAATCTTCGGTTGTACCGCTCCATCTTTCTGAATCGATCAACCCTGTGGTTTGACGTGAGGGATTTTTCCTCACTTTTAATTTTTTGATCGATCCGGAAAAATGAGCGACCTTACGGTATTTTCACCGTAGGTGGCGCCTGTTCTCGGCCACTTACCGGTAAAGCTACGCAATTTTCCATATTAATTACATGAAGTGCTGTGTGGTGCGCATACGCGATTCGTACGAATATGACTTCGCTCAGTGCGTAGATATAAGCGGATCACCGAGAAATGTACTTCGACAACCGTACCCGACCTCTCATTGCCTGGAGGGGGAGGTACCGGTTCGAGCTAAGAAATAAAAGCAAACTTGAAATCACACAAGCTAGCTTAATTTTTCTCCTATACCCATTTTCCTATCTTCCATGCTACGAGCCTCGACTAGCAGCCAGACGGAGAAGGAAGGAAGGAGAGAAGGATGGAAGCTATTCCCCAGCCGCCTTGGGTCCCCCACCGCCTGCCAATTCTCTCCTAACCACGATGTCAGCTCAAAGGCCCCCATCGTCCGCCTCACTGCCACGTACCCCCCCCCCCCCCCGCTCAATGACGATACCAAAATTTAACCTACATCGCCGCACTGAGGGTTGCATTGGTTCCCCATGCAGTTCCCCATAAGGGTGAATTTTCATTTCCCCTAAATTCTCGCGGGTCAACCGGCCACTCTTAAAATACTAAAAATTCGATCTACCCTTTTTAAAGTTTCGCAGCACTCTTCTGTGAACAAATTTGACGAGAATTTCCCTACCCGTAAAAAAGGGAAATTCGCCCATGTCAGTTTAAAAGTTAAACTTTGAAAAATCTCAAAACACGTTACCTTCGATTTTAATAAAATTCATATCAAACGAAAGCTTCAATATTCTACTTTTTATTTATCAAGCGATAATAATGGACATTTCAGTAAATTTTAATTAATTAATTAAATTTTACAGACATTTAGAAGGTTATTATGCATAAATGGAGAAGAACAAATGCCGCCCTATACTTAATAAATGGTTCTCTCAATATAACCTTCGAAATGTTTGTAAAATTTAATTATTTTCTCAAAATCCACTGAAATGTCCATTATTATCGCTTGATAAATAAAAATTAGAATATTCAAGCTTTCGTTTGATATGAGTTTTATTAAAATCGGAGGTAACGTGTTTTGAGATTTTCCAAAGTTTAACTTTTAAACTCAATTTTCTATTTAAATTAAATTATTAAAAAAATATATTTTTTTATTTTTAGAAAGTTCAAAAATTCTACTTTCAAAATCACTAATATAAAAAGTAATTTGGTTCTACAGAATGGAAGAAATATTCATTTAAAAATTGTCTTACATTGGCAATTGTTTACGAAGGGGGTCGTTTTGAAATGGAATGCCTCTATATTAAAAGTGAAACAAGAATCTTCACGCGCGCTTTAGCGCGCGTTATTTGTGCTAGTATTATAATAATTCATGATAACAGTTAAAATTTTTTAATTTACATGTTTCATAAATTATTCTTTTAATTGAAATCACTGTCATCACTATAAGATTCATCATTTTGACTGACACCTTTGCGTGTACTTTTTGTTCCCACTGTTAATAAATAATCGTTGATACATAAACGTCCTTTTTCGGTGACATAGGTCAATAAACTTTTTACATCATTTTTTTTAGACTGAGTGATTCCTATTGTAGGTGGTTTGCATTTGGGAAGATCTTGGATCTTTTGAAGATTCGTTTTTATTTCGAATATTTTGGGATTTTTTAAATCGTAGCTTTTAAAAACTTCAATATTTCCATTTAGAGTGTATCGAATTGCTGAAGCTTCGCTAATTTTTAATCCTTTCGGCTTTATTAATTTGTTTTTAAATAATTTTTCAAAATCTTGAAGCTTGTCAGTCGCTGATTTATCTACTGTAAAAGGTGGATTTCTTGCGTTTTCAATTAAAGCGCAATAATCATCAAATGTTTCAATGCGCTCGAGTTTTTTCTTTTTCTTAGCGTACATGCCGAAATTACGGTCACATTGGCAGTAGGAGTGTCCGCGAACAGGAAATATATGTACAATCTCGACATTTTATTCCATTAACAAAAGAAAGCAGAAAGTAAGCACTGTATAATTACGATTTTGCCCAGGAGCCGCATCACAAAAGAAATATATTTTTTTATGATTTTCTACATCAAATTCTTTCTTCACGCTATCATAAAGAAAGCTGTAAACCACATTTGCTCCTTTTTTGTGATTCCTTCAAAAAAGGGATACATATAGCTGCCTTCTGAATTATGTATGTGAACATTAAATAAATAAAGCCAAACTAAACGTTTATAAAATTGATTATTTACAGGAATCTTTGGCAACGGTAAATTTTGCGCGTAAACAAACTCACAACACAAAACGTTTGTTTCTGATAAATACCGATTTTTTAAAGTTAAATAATCGTTGGCTTTTTTTATGTTCAACATAATTCTCATTTTCATTAGTATTTGTTTCACTTTTGTAACATAAATTACAAACATCAGTGCGAGGAAGACTACAAGAAAATGGCAAATTGTGGTTAAAATATTTCGCGTACGTCGATCTGTTTAGAGATATTTCATCTTTTTGCGTGACACTTTTATAAAATTCAACGAACAAATCATAGAGTAAATCCAAAGTTAATTCCGAAATTTAAAAATACTTTAAACCATGTAACGTTTTATTACGTTTCTGTTCTACTGACAATCCTTGTTGTTACTCAGATTGAATAATTCATATTAATATTATATTTTCAAATTATATTTCGCGCCTTAGCGCCAAACTTCAACACCAGGCGTCGCGCACGCCAAAAACAGCAGACGACAAAAGCACATGTTGCTTTTGACCGGCAAGAGACGCCAGATTGGTGTGAACTATAAGTGCGAAAACGCACCATTGCGCATAATTAATATAATTGTATTTTTATTCCTTGTGCCAAATAAATTGTTGTTTATTGTGAGTGCGCTAATTATTTCCGCCGTTTCCAGCGTCATAATCGCTAATTTCAGTTGTGGGAATACTAAAAAGGTTAGTCTTCTAATTTCGTTTTTCTTGGCTTGTCACCGAAGGAAGGAGGAGATATCTTTCGAGCAGTGGATTCCTGGTTGGTAATTGTGTCTCGCTAAGCGAGTCGAACCAATCCTCGAACGAGCAACTCCTCGTAACCGAAAAGAGTTGCGCCGGTTTAACGGCTCAGTGAACTGGTATCACCGTCACTTGCGCAATATTGCAAAAGTGCAAGGACCGCTAAATAAATTAGCGAGTCCCAAGGTACCTTGGAACTGGACCGAAGAACACGAGGCCGCGTTCAACGAAGTTAAGGAATCCTTAAAAAGCGCCTTGACTTTAGTCGCGCCTAGGCCCGGTTTACCCCTCTACATGTATACCGATGCAAGCGACACCGGTATCGGTGCTATCTTGACACAGCAAGATGGAGAAAAAGAATACTTAATCACATGCCTAAGCAGACCTTTAAGAGGTGCTGAATTAAATTACACCACCACTGAAAAGGAATGCTTGGCTGTGATTTTCGCTATTAAGAAGCTCCGCTGCTACCTCGAATGCGCTGAATTTACTGTGATCACAGATCATTCCAGTTTAATTTGGTTGCAAGGTCTCAAGGACCCAAAAGGTAGACTTGCGCGATGGGCTCTCGAGCTGTCCGCAAATAACGTCAAGATTGAGCACAGAAAAGGTACGACTAATGAAGCGCCGGATACGCTTTCGCGACTTTACGAAGACGATACTAGTGATACGCTCGTTACCGAACTAAATTCCGTTAAAAGTCAAAGTTGGTACGACCAGATGCTAGAAAAAGTTCGTAAAGATCCCTCGCGCTATGAAAGATATAAAGTTGATTCGAACAATCAACTATACTATTATAAACCAAATATGGTTAAAGAAACCATCGGCGATAATAACGCCTGGAAAAAGATCCTTAAAGAAAATGAAATTTTACCGATTATTACCGAACATCATTGCACTACTCAATCCGCGCACCAAGGCATCAATAAAACTTATCTTTCGATAATTAATCATTTTTATTGGCCCGGTATGCGCGAAGACATCAAGCGTTACGTTAATGAATGCGAGATTTGCCTCAAGTGTAAGCCGAAAAATACGCCCCCACAAGGTTTAATCTATCCGCGCAAAATTACGGAACCCTGGGAAACAGTGTCACTCGATATCGTAGGTCCCCTACCTCGGTCAAAATCCGGTAAAAATTATATCTTAGTTTGTGAAGACACGTATACTCGTTACATTGACTGCTTCGCGCTTTCTAAAGCAGACGGTCCCAAGATTGTAAAATCTTTAAACACCCTTGTTAACCGCTGGGGAGCGCCTAGAATTGTCATCACCGACAACGGTACAGAGTTCGTAAATCGGAATATCACATCGTTTTTACAAAAAATCGGTTCGGTACAACGGACAACACCCGTATACCATCCTCAGGCCAATCCTGTCGAGCGCGTAAACCGTAATTTGAAAACAATGTTAGCAAGCCTCCTCGGCGAAAATCAACGCGAATGGGATGTTCTGCTCGAAGATATCCAGTTCGCCTACAACACCATTGTACACACATCCCTTGGAGTCACTCCAGCTTTCTTAAATTTCGCTCGCGAACCGAGACGAATAGGCGAACCGCCACGTGACACAAACACAGACGTTAAAATTGACGAAACAATTAACACATGGTTAGATCGAATAAAACATATAGATGCGCTTCGCGCAAAAGTTGAACAATTCATGAAAAAGGCTAGTAAGAAGCAAGGCAAGATATATAACAAAAATCGAAAGAATAATATTGACTTTCAACCTGGAGATCTCGTATTCTACCCTAATAATGTCTTGTCTAACGCTGCACGTGGTTATAGTTCTAAACTAGCGCCACGTTATAAAGGTCCAGCAACAGTTCTAGAAAAATTGTCACCCATGATAATTGTTATCGGCAATTCGCATGGCAAAAAGTTAGGAAAATATCATATAAACGACTTAAAACCTGCAAGAAAGAATCTTCGATCGCGCTCTACGTTGTAAAATTTCTATTACAGATATACGATCACCATGGAACCAGCACCCAACGACAACACGAACAACGCTACTGGATCTGCCCTACAAGAGATTCCGGTTCTGTGCATTACGCCACTCCCCGAAGACCAAGGCGAACCCAGCAGCGCCGTCACTCTCGAGCAACCACCAAGTGGTCTGGTTGTTTTACGCAAGACAACCTTAGAAACCCTCTTAGCCGAACGTGACGACCTTAAAGAAAAGTTAACTACTATTCAACAACAATTGTCCTCTTTTGAAGAAAAAGAAAAACTAAATTGCGCAACGACCAGCAAGACCGCCGACCAAAAGGAAGAACACTACCAATTTATGGCGGATTTGAACAAGGAACGCTACAACCTAACAAACACGATCTCAGAACTCCAGAAAGAGATCACTGATCTAAAAGTCGAACGCGCCACCATGAAGAAAGATCTCGATTCATATGAAGCCGATTTCAACCGAGTTTGCGACGATTACTCTTACCAGGAAGACTACAGCCTCCGCCTCAAGAAACTCTTTTACAACACGGTATCCGAAGTATGCCATGCTCTCGCAAATTTGCGCGAACCGAAGCTGAGACCTAAGGCCCCCGAAGGCTGCCTTAACTGTGGTATCAGCGGGCATAGTTTTCGTTCCTGTCAAAGGAAGTATAACGGACGTTTCTGCCAAACCTGCGCACACCCCGACTTTTCAACCGAAGAATGTCCTTGGCCTCACTACCCTAATGGACCCTCTAGCATTCCCGAAAGCAGCAGATGTAAATCGTGCTGGCAATCAAAGACTACGCCAAACCCGCATTGCGCTGAGTGCCGTCGAAGAATGATAAGAGAAAATACCATTAAGCGCAATAAACTCGCCCAAGAATTAGAAGATGCATCATTCTCACTCCCTTCCACCAGTCAATCAATGAAGGATGGAAGACAAGCAACTCGCGCCATCATCGCTCCCCCAGCTTCTCAAGCCCAGCAGATAGCCATTACGTCAGTTGTAACTAACAACTCTAAGAGCGAATTTTGCATTCAATCCGAACCAAAAGCCGAGATTGGAATGCAGCCTTCTACTCAGCCAGCAAATCCCAAGACTGATCTGCAAAACGCGCAATCCAACGAAGAGCCAACGGTTTCACAAGACCCAATAGTTGAACCATTAGTACTCTCACTCCAAGTACAGCCCAGTAATGTGCAGAACCTGATCTCTCCAAGGGAATCGATCGATGACAACGTTGCTCTATGGGAATCTCTCACGGAAGCGTTTAAAATTGGACTAAACAAAGACGTCGAAAAAAATTAAATTCCAGTCTTCCTTGTACAACTAGTTTAGTAACGATAAACAGTATTACTTTAATTTTTTTAATTTAGTTTTCTTTTAGTTAAGAACGATCTCTTGACAACCAAATATTATAATTATCACCAATTTTGTTTTCTTTACTAAGTATTATTTTGCAAACTAAACTAAGTCATGATTACTATAGTAACTATTATTAAACAAAAAAAAAAAAAAAATTTACTTATTTTTGTTAGACTTCTAATAATAGTCGAAATTTTTATATATTGTTGCACCGTTGTGCCTTCGCGCCGTTGCGCAGTAAACTATTAGTAAAATCAAAAATATTAGCTTAGTATTTCATTTAGTTTCTAACCACCAAAGTTACTTAGATATTAGCGCCGTTGCGCAGTATTATTCTCATTATCTAAAGATTATATATATTTTTGTACTACTTAGATCCTAGCGCCGTTACAATTGTAATCAACGACTTCTCAGCGCCATTAAAACTTTTCGAATAAAGCAAATCTAATTGAAATATGTTGTTAGATATAATTATATTAATTAATATCCCACAACTGATTATTAAGACGAGAAGTGAGATATCAGATAAGTTTTGATTTCAGATTCTTTTCCTTCCTTTCATTCAGTTATCTTTGCATCTCAATTTTTAATGCTTTGTTTTATTCCTAAATCATTCTAATAATTATTCAATTCTAACTTAAAAGGATTAGTCTCTTTTGCAAGCCAAGGATTATGGGTTGGAGAGATTTAGCCAAACGACTCAATCCTGGGTAGCAACAACGATTTAGGAAGGGGGAATTGTAACGTTTTATTACGTTTCTGTTCTACTGACAATCCTTGTTGTTACTCAGATTGAATAATTCATATTAATATTATATTTTCAAATTATATTTCGCGCCTTAGCGCCAAACTTCAACACCAGGCGTCGCGCACGCCAAAAACAGCAGACGACAAAAGCACATGTTGCTTTTGACCGGCAAGAGACGCCAGATTGGTGTGAACTATAAGTGCGAAAACGCACCATTGCGCATAATTAATATAATTGTATTTTTATTCCTTGTGCCAAATAAATTGTTGTTTATTGTGAGTGCGCTAATTATTTCCGCCGTTTCCAGCGTCATAATCGCTAATTTCAGTTGTGGGAATACTAAAAAGGTTAGTCTTCTAATTTCGTTTTTCTTGGCTTGTCACCGAAGGAAGGAGGAGATATCTTTCGAGCAGTGGATTCCTGGTTGGTAATTGTGTCTCGCAATATGAGTCGAACCCTTACTCTATTTTTACAATAAATTCTTATATTGTTGGTCACAACCAGTGTTTTCTCTTCTGTAGTGAGATGATCTATGAGGTATACTTATGCAATGGATTTCAATCAACTCCTTTAAAACGTCATTTAATTTTACTACATGGTTACCATGTTTTCCTCGAAGATCGCTCACAGTATCTATGTTTAAAATTTTATTTTGCACAGTCCGTATTTTTTTATTCCTATATTGAGTACTTCGCAAAGAAATTTTTGGCAAATTGGAATATTTTTGCTCTTGTGCAATAATTCGAAGTTCCAACGAATTAATCTCGGTTTTGCAGAATTTTTATTTATTGACAAGGGATCGCTACATTTCATTACTGTACTCAATAAAACATTTTGTTTGTCATAATTGGCTAGTTCCCAACAATTTTAGTAAAATTTTTGTTGATCTGAAACGTTAATTTTCTCATAACATTTAAAGCGCTGACAACAGGAATCGACTTTTTTAAACGTTTTTGCATCAACCGCTTTACTTGAAGTAGATATATATTCTTCTCCCTAAAAAGTAATTATTAAAAATAGTTTTTTAACCCGTTGACTGTCGCTGACGCATATATGCGCAAAACTAAACTGGCCAAAAGTGGTTCATGACGCATATATGCGCAACTTAAAAAAGGTGATTAAAAACTTCTTAAATGTTCCTGAAACCAGTTTCTCGGGGGTTTTCGAGGTCGCTGATTACGAATATGACATTCGTCTTCCAAAATTCAAAATGGCGGATCCAATATGGCGGACAACAAAATAAAAAATTGATCAGATTGACTTGAATCGTAGTACTTGGGGGTTTTTGGGGTCGCACAGTGGGACGATATCACCAAAACGTGGCCAAAATAGAAATTTTTTTTTTTATTTTCTACTGTAAATGGTGTGATTTGTTGCCGTGATTATCCAAACTTTAATACCGAGAAGGACGATTTTATGTAAGGTTTGATTCAGCTAGTTGTTCATCGCAAAGTTAGCCTTCGTCCCGCATCCACACGACGCGTTGCACTAATTGTGATATTAAGAACTCTAAAAGTGTAGAGAAACAAAGAAAATTGGTCTTTTTAAATCGCTCTCAAAATAGAAAATCTTGCTGAAGGTATATATAAACATTTTATATAACGTTAATATTAATCCACGTTTACGTAAGTGCAAATAAATATACATATATATACGTATCTCTATAAATAGTGATTAAATAAAAGTCTATTTTAAAGAATGTTTTTAAAAAAACTTACGCAAACTTATGCTTTTATTCTACCTGGGATTTGTACCTTATAATATTACTTTTGACATATTTTAAAGACAGCTGCCATAAACTGCCTAACAAAGTTTAATAAGCAATTCTCTACCTGAGCGCAGTGGGACATAATAACAAATAAATAGTTAAAATCTAAAAGCGGTTTCAAAATCAAATTAAACTTATTACTCAGGGGTTTTTAGGGTCGCAGATTACAATTCTGAAATCAAAAATTAAAAAAAAGAAAATGGCGGATCCAAAATGGCGACAATTTTTTAAAAAAATTTATTAAAATTTAAAAAAAATACTTGTTAAGGAGATTTTGGGGTCGCAGGTTACGAATCTGAAATAAAAAATTATAATAAAATTAAAAACAAATACATGTTAAAGGGGGAGTAAGGTATTTTTTTATATTAATGTATGATATCTTAACCCCTTGACTGTCAACGAGATTCCCACTGTTTGGGCCAAACGTGTGTTAAAAAATTTTTTAATAGATTTTTATGAAACTTGGTACCCTAAGGTTTCTGGGGTAGTTGATTACGAATCTGAGATCAGTTTTTCGAAATTCAAAATGTCGGATTCAAGATGGCAGAAATTTTTTCAAAATTCATCGAATTTGCTTGAAACTGGTTACTCAAGGGTTTTAAGGGTCGCTGATTATGAATCTAATATTAGTTTTCCAAAATTCAAAAGGGCGGATCCAATATGGTGGACGACAAAATAAAAAAAATTAATTATAATGGCTTGAAACTGAATACTCGGGGGTTTTTAAAATTGCTAATAACGATTCTGACATTAATTTTCCAAAATTCAAAATGGCGGATCCAATATGGCGGACAACGAAATAAAAAATTGATCAGTTTGACTTGAAACTGAATACTTGGGAAAATTTATTGAATTTGTTTCAAACTGGTTAATCTCACATCAGTATGATAATTTTTGGTAAAATCAAATTTCGTTAAATATCCTGACATTAGCTGGTGAATTTAATTTTTATAATTTATTAAATTTTTTAAATTTTTTAAATTAACGACCCCAGAAGTTACTACGAGAAGACTGCCATAGGATTTTACATTACATTTTTTATTTATTAAACATTTTTATATATATTTTTTAATTTTATTTTTTATATACTAGATTATATACTAGACGCGTCGTTGCATGCAGCCACGTAAAACTGAAACCCTAAGTAACTTTCAAGCCAATTCAATTAATTTTTTATTTTGTCGTCCGCCATACTGTATCAGCCATTTTAAAGTTTCAAAAACTGATTTCAGTTTCGTAATCAGCAACCCTGAAAATCCCCGAGTATTCAGTTTTAAGTCAATCTGATCATTTTTTTATTTTGTCGTCCACCATATTGGATCCGCTATTTTGAATTTTGGAAAAATAATGTCAGATTTGTAATCCGCGACCTTCAAAACCCCCAAGTATTCAGTTTCAAGTCAATTCAATCAATTTTTTTATTTTGTTGTCCGCCATATTGGATCTGCCATTTTAAATTTTGAAAAAATAATGTCAGATTCGTAATCAGCGACCCTAAAAACCCCCGAGTAATAAGTTACAATTGATTTAAAACATGTTTTCATATTTTGACCAGGATTTAGTGATTCTGTCCCACTGTGCTATGCCGCAAAGGGTTCAAAAAAATCCAAAATTGACTAAAATATCGCGAGTTGAAGTAAAAATTTAATTAAATTTTATGTTTTAAAAAACATGGTTTTTGTTCATTATTTCGAAAACGGTAAGGGGCCGTTCAAAAAAAACGTAACGCTATTTTTCGGAAATTTGGACTTCCCCTCCCCGCATGTAACGCAATGTTGTATACATTAGCGCCATTTTTTCTACTGACCGTAACAAATAGCTTGACCCCCCCTCCCCCCAAAAGCGTTACGTATTTTTTGAACGGCCCCTAATAAATAGAAAAAAATGTTATACGAAAAAAAGGTGCGCAATCAAATTTTCTATAAGGATATGTATAATAAACATTTTAAAACAAAAGTTGAATTTCAAGTGGCCAGGGGCCAACGTTTTTCAGCGCGGCGAGTTTATGTGCCCTAGCCTGGCCGCGATTTGTTAAGATAATTATTTTTTAATCTGGTGATATCATTGAGCGCCGGGCAGAAAAAGTTTCCTTTTTACCTAAAGAAACAAATACGAATATACTTAAGTTGATCTATAAATAATTAATAGACCCAAAAACTTAATAATATTAAAGAAAAAGAAATTTTATTGACATTTTGAATTTTAATATTAATTTAATAAAGTTTTGAACATCTCGGACTATTGTTTATGGATTTTTATGAAGTTTACACATTTTTCAGGTAAAAATGTGTACTTTAAAATAAAAATAATGTAAATAAAAAAATTAAAAAATTTTTTTTTCATTATTTACTTCTCCCTGAGAAAAATGTTATTAACATATTTGGAATCCTTATGAATTCACCTTTAATTTAATAAAGCAAAATTGATAAAGACTCATCTGGTTCCGGAGATATTGAAGTTTTTGTAAAAAAAGACTAGCTGCAGCAACAAGGTGAGCTTCGAATAAAAAGCCAAACGTTCTTGCCCATCCCATTTTTTAGTATCGTTTCGGTAAAGCCATACAATAATTTTAAGACAAAAAAGAAAAAATCGGTACATGAAATTTTGAATAAACTCAGTTTTTCGATTTTTTCATTTTGGAAATTTCAAAAATCTTCATTTGTTAGTAAGTTGGGCAAATTCTACAAAAATTGAGTAGAAATAGACAAAACTTCGATAATATAGAAGAATTTAACTACAAACATCTAAATTTCAAATGGTTCTGGGTCAAATTTTCTCAAAAAAATCAAAGTTGGTCATGGGTCTTTCAATTTTTGTTAAACTTGGTATAAAGGTAGTGTTTTATGACAGAAGATTTTAGGAAAAAAAAAATTTTTAAAAATTTTCAAAATTGTGGATTTTA